GAAATACTTCTTATAGCTCGCAGACTTTTAGATTACAAAAATCTGATCTTGCCTAAAAGAACCATTTATCTGTTTACTAGTAGAATAACAACATACGCACAATATCAAGAATCGTACCAAACATTTTATTAATTTTAAATTTTTTTACATACCAGATTTGATTATTCGTCAGTAGCTGAATTGAATTGATGCCTTTCTTTACGTGTCGAGACTCGGGTCATCAAGCTTGCTCTTCCGTTTGACCACGCAAATTTTACTACGCTCCTTTAACCCACTAGCAGAGAAAGGAGGTATTTTTTGGGCGACGAAACAGTCAACTTGAATTTAGGTCAGAGGCTTCAGGATCTTTTATATGCAGTAAATCTACTAAAAGGGGACAGTTGGCTTTACTTCCTCTTCGAAGGAAGGCATACGAACGATTATCTACCCTAAAAATCCATGGCTTCGATTAAGATAGACCTCGCGAACATATGTATAACATGTTCGATTCCCTAACAGTTACACCATCGTCGCCGTAACCCTAAAGCAAAAGTACTTAAGTAACTTTGAGGAGCAAATGGGTTCTGTATTTGAAATACGTATTGAAAATATGGCGTGATGTTTGGAGGAATACGCAACGAACTAAATGATCAACATAAACTAAGGTGAACATTTGACGATGTCTTTTACAGCGTGGGGCTTATTTGATCGAGATACGGACAGTATTTTATGACAGTAGTTACGCTCTAAATACTCATTTAGCTATACCATTAGTTGAAATGATGAGAGGACATTAATATGGCTTATATAGTGTGCATGGATAGTAAAGGGAGATGAATCGATCATAAACGATTGATATAGGGGAATAATTAGATGAAAGTGTAGACGCCAGTGGGGGTATAGCATGAAAGTTTGTAAAAGCTTGATAATGGCTTAGGTATTTTAGAGCATCTCTTGCTGTCATTACAGTGCCTCTTACCCAGACGTCCTAGGTTTCGAGTCGCAGTGGTGGCAGGATGTTCGACAGTAGCTAGATAAGTAGCCTGGGTTCAGTCGCTGTCTGGAGGAGACTTCTAGCGATCAGCTGCTCTCATCGGGAGTTTTCGGTGTTTTCTCCGATGAACACCAGGCGAATGCCGGAGCAGTATCTTATCAAAATGGGCCACGCATAGCGCGCGATTTTTCCTTCCTCTTCGTTGTCCTATCCTCGCACTTTACTTACACACATTTATTCTAACATTCACTATACTACCACACACGCCGTGAGACCGGTCGAGAGTTTAGAATTTGCCTCGACTGCGGTGATGGTGGGAGATACCGAGTTTGGGAAAACGCAGTATGTCGGCACAATCAGAGGGAGAAGACCACCATATCCTCCCGTGATAAAACTTGCGCAATACTTATAGCACTAATGACTTTATCAATTGACATGTCCGCAGAATACGAATCGAATCAATCAATTTAAAAACTTGTCGGATTCATTAATGATACAAAGTGTATTGATATGAAGTTGGAAGGATAGAATGGGAACACTGAGAATCTAAAGAAAATGTGTACCATAAAGTTGCAATTAGATGCATGTACGACGGGGTCTTCGGTTAGGAAGGATTCAGACAGAAAGCTGATGAGGTTAGAGATGAGTCGATAGAGCTGAAGTAAATAGGTTGGTTGCTGACAGGAATAGAAATATTCAGGTACAGGAAGATGTGGGCAGAATACGAGAGGCTAGGTACACTATTGCAAAATTATTACACAGAGTGAGTTACCTGATAATTTAAGAATGAAAGGAGAAAATGCTTGTAGGAGTGTTATAGATAGGAACAGTCGAAGGAATGACGTAAAAGCTGTATATTGACTGAAGGTCGAAGATATGTCATGTGATGTGGTGTTGTGCAGTGTGGTGCAGAATTGTAAATACGTTTTAGAGATATGTATGTTTTTAATGAGAGAAGAATTATGGATGACGGCCGGGAGTACAAGAGAAAATTTAATGCTTTTTGGTTGGATCCGGATAGAGTGCTGAGTAGATGCAAAACTCTAGAAAGATAATGAGATAATGCATTTATATATGAAAGCAAATCCAACTGATAGGTTTATGTGGAATGTAAATAAATATTATTATTCTATTGCTATATACTACTCGTAACTATTTCGTAACAGCTTTTGTGAATGCAGGAATTAATATTACACACGCGAAAGATGATTTAGGTGGATAAGATAATGTATGTGCATTTAAAACCAAAACCATCATTAACGAAAGCGCCTTTCAATCTAAAATAACACAAAAAAACTTAAAATAAAAGGCACATTTTCAATCAGCGCGGTTTGCCATGGCAAACGCACGCCATAAGTCCCCACCCTCAACGAACACAGCAATGAGTGCGGATTTGGCTTCGGAGGGCGGGCATGTGGCCCTGCGAGGGAGGGAAGGGGTGGGGGATGACAAGCGCAGCGAGGGTGACATCGGGCGCAGGCTGCTGCACCCACGCTGCAGCCACCGCCCCCCCCCCGCGCTCCTGCCCCAGTTTGCACGTTATTTACCCGGCGCGGTTTTGCATGTATGCGGTCTGCTCCGTTGTAACGCACCGGAAAGGATATTATGCTCTGCGAAACAATGGGAGGAACCCATTAGCGGCGCCGTACTATCCTGCGAGGCCCGACCGTCCGTCCGCCCGGAGCGACTGGGCTTCGAACCCCGTCCTCCCTCTCACCCGCCGCGAAACTACTGCGGAGTGGATTTTCGTGTAATTTCATGCGAGGAGTAGTTTGACCGAAATTATGGCATGTAGTCAGAAACCACGTGACGATACAGTCGGAATTGTAGAAACAGCTCGCTCGCGTTTAATGAGCTCCTTTTCCTTCCGTTATTGCGAGACCCGCGCATACGTTATTTCCGGAAAACGCATCCATCACGAGACCATATAATACTAGGAATTCGGTATGGCTCGCTGTATAACGGGTTTTCGTGCTGTAGCAGACGTAATGTGATTCGCTATTATTTACTGAGGGAGTAATAGGCATGAATTCCTAAACGTCCATTCATTTCTGATACAATAGGATGTAATTTCATACGCTTCTTTTATATTATACATCCCTGGTGTTTGTTGTGAACAGAAATTTCAATTTATGATTGCGAAGGGGAAACCACTTGTGTTATTAAGAACTTGTAAACATTTAGAAGGTTTAATTCGTTAAACACTTGCGAACATTAAAAAGGTTTTAATCGTTAACGTGGCAAGATTGTCGGCAGTGAGATTATGATTAACCGGTATAAAATTCGTAGTAATTCGTAATAATTTGTAATCAGTACTTATTTTCACTTCATACGCCGTGATTATGGATTTTAATACTACACAATATTCACGTTCTTGCTAGAAACCAATTATTCATATTTTATTTCACCCTTCACAGATCAATAAATGATAAATACTTGCCGTACAAATAACAGTTTATATGAGAACGTTCACAATCTACTAAGAGTTCCATTTGCGGCTGAAGAGGAAGCTTTTGCTGGATGTTTGTAATACATGACAAAACTTAACTTCATGGATAGTAGTAGTACTGCCAGAATTTTACACCATTAGTCACCTCTCGCATCCCAGTTTCTATTTAAGTCTGTCACTGCACTCTTCATGCTCTTCTAGCCATCACCTTCTTCACTTCTTCCTTCCATGTACTTCTGGGTGTTTCTCGTCTTCTGTGTTTCCAATTCTAGATCATTAGAGGCCATCGTATTTCACCCACTCTGTTTAAGTGATCTTACAATTTGAGCTTTTCAATTTCAATTGTATCAATAATGTTGAAACTAACTTCTGCGTTTCTTCTAACTTCTTCGTTTCTTACTTTGTCCAACAATCTGAATCCTCAGCTTCTTGGCCTATAGTCCATTTCCATTGCAGTAAGTTTATTTTCATTACTTTTCGAAATTTTCCAATTGTCAGACCCATAGGTGGCTATATTCCCTGCTACAGTTTTATATAATCTACTCTTAACATTCTCATTTAGAGTTTGATTCCGTATTAAGCGATGCAATTACCTTATAGTTACTTTCTCTTTGGACATTCCTTTCTGAATACCTTGTTTACCCACCACTATTTGCTGCTATTTGAGTGTCTAGATAGGCATAATTCTGGGAGGATTTCAATTCTGGTCCGTTAGGTATATACCGAGTTTTGACTTCTTCTACAACCAGATATTCTGATTTATTTACAGCCCCCGAATTAAGTACTCTTTATGACATCATCCTGGATAACTTATAACAATTTGCAGCCCAGTTTAATGGAAATTTGGCGATGCTTATCGCCTCTAATATCAACGAATAATTGTTTGGTTAACCACCAGGATCTTCCGCATCATTTTGTAGGTGTGTATTCCCTGCTTCACCGCAATGCAGAATTTGTCTAGCGTACTAATGAAAAATGGTCATTAATGTCCCCGTGAAGCCGGAGTAATTTAACTGAAACGGTGTAGTGTAAAATTGAGATCGACCGCAATTGCTCATTGTGGCTCGTTTCAAAATTGCTTATGGGGTGTCAGTCTGCTCAAATAACAATGTACTAACGTTCAGTATCCCTTTCCTTTCAGTGTAGATAATAATTATTTTAAATTAAAGTGATTATCAACGTATGTGTTGGAAATAGGTAGTCTCCATTACTTAGGGTGCTTTCATAACGATCAGTGCAAACGGTAAAAACAAATTTTCAGTTTTCTCTTTCTCAAATACGTTTTTTGTAAATAATTCACTATATTTCTGATGTAAATGTATCGAAAACTCCACATCACCAAACTTTTTAAAGACATGTAAAATCTGTGAGGATATTTTTGTGAAAACAAATAACATACCAATAATATAGAAGAAATATTTTGTTATAAATTTCGGCCCACATTAGGATATTATCTGACGCTTTAAAAATGTTAAAAAGCATGAAAAATGTGTGGGGATAAGAGGATTGCGTGATAAAATGCTCGACAAATATGGTCAGTCACGATAACTTGCGATTACTTGCATTTAATTTCTTGCGCCACAATTAGAAAACATAGGGTTTGTTTAGACAATTTATACTGGGAACAATTATTGTTACCCGGACATTGAATACAGTACTCTTTGTCTTCAATTATTTTTAGAGTGTTTTTTTCCATTCAAACTTGGTCTTCGACCAGACTTACGACAAATACAGAGTACATAATATTTATAAGATATCGTAGGGTCGCGTAACACATTACAACAGGAAGAAAATGTAATATAATTAAAATGGTGCGTGATTTTGCTCCGATTGAGCGTGACAAGCAACGAGTCAGCTATGACGTCACTTCTAAGAATAAGATCAGCGGCGTGAATATCCTCCTCTCCCAGTGGGTCACTCCCTCGAGGCCACGCGCTCCAAGCGAAAACAGACAAGCGCCGCTCCGGCGGTCCGCTCCCCAGGGGCGGGCGTCGAACCGGGCGAGTGCAGTTGCGTGTAGCGGCGCCTCACCCGCGGCGCCCGGCACCACTTCACACGGAGAGCAAAAGTCTGTCCCGAAATCTGATCCGCGGAGCACGCTTCCCGGTGCTCGCTTTCAGGTTCCTCGGGAGGCTCTTGTTGGGACAAATCAATTGGGCGGTGTCCTTTGCCTTGGATCTCACAGAAAAATCGATTCTATTTTATAAATTCCTGGATGCACTGAGCGAATATTTTGATCTTTTTTAACTGAGGCCATAACATGCACTAAAACTCGAAAGATATGCAATAATGTAAAGGCAATCAAGACTAACAATAAGTGCATTTGGACAGAATGTGCATCTAAACGTATGGTGAATGGTTTTTAATGTTTTTTTGTATTTAAGCATTACAAAATAACCTTTTCTGTTGTAAGAAACCCTTCCTAATTGGGCATTTTACGGCACAAATGATGACGTATTAGATTTTATGTCACGAATAATTGCGTCATCACACATTCAGCCAATCGTAGCGAGAGAATCGGGGGAACAGCCGACCACCGTTTACTGGCACGATGTCAAATACCCGAGTCATCAGAGGGAAGTTGTTTCGCAAAATTAAGATTGATTCTCTTATAAATGTATAATACTGTTATACAAAGAAACAGAGTATTCTCCTCGTTTATAATGTTGCTTTATTATGTTCGTATAAATTTGAAAACTCGTTCCTAAAGTCGCTCGTTTTCAAAACATGTACTAATGCAATAAAGCTTAACAATATGAACTAAATGCATAAACTAGTATTGCCCCTCTTATTTATAATGCTTTTTTTACTGAGTATACTTGTATAATAAAATATTGCATAATATCATACATGTATTATTTTCTTATATTTTTATATTATTATTTTATATTAAAAATTCAAAATATTGGGAAATCTCACTAACAGGAGTATTCCACAAGCGATATGAATTCGATTCAACCCTAGAGATAGTGTCAAAAATGCCACCCGTACGGCCATTTTTATTTGCTCAGCTCCGGGGACAGGAAGGAGGGGGGCAAACATCGCTCGTTTATTTAATCAGGTTTGTCCTCTACGGTTTGTATTTTTATTATATATTTTCCCAGTGTATTTGTTTTCAAAAAATATATTTTTACAATGACCATGTTCTTTGTAATAAATTTGAATCTTGGTTTTATATAATTAATTGGTAGAGTTTTTAGTTGAAACTGACAGTGCCTTTACAGTACAACTCAAAAAGCTTGTCCTTAATCACCGACGATGCAGTACATCTCTACCACGCACCGTAGGTAGGGCTAACTGACGCTAAAAACTGACCAGACTGAAAACAAAATGACAAAAACTGACTTCAAATACTGGCCAGACTGAGACAAAATGACAAAACCATCACGCTGTTAAATGAAAATAAAATGAAAACATGAACAACAAATATGAAAATTAGCCTATCTTGCAGTAATAAACAGGCCCAATAGATTTCACCCCAAAAAGTATGTCATAAAAAAGGCACCCTTAGTAAATCCCACCTGTCCGCCCACCTTTTCTCCTCTCCTCCTTTCCTATCACCATCAATATGGAGATGGAAGGAGTTTTGTTTTATTTTTATATAGCCAGCTTGTCAATGCTCACCAACGTGGATAATGCAATTTATGTAATTGCCGCTTAAACAATACAAAAAACAGCAGCTAGGGATATTTAATGCTTCTGCCTTCACTTCTGCCTCGAGTTCCGAAGCGTGCGATTGCGCGGGCGGACTTCATGCACAAACGCGTCAAGCGCTTGGCGCTCCATCCACAAGCTTTGGGAGTGGGCGTGGCGCGTACCTGCATGCGATCTAAGTGGCGCGCGTGGCTCCACGGCAGCGCGTGGCCGCTATCGCCGCCGCCGCCCGCCGCCGCGCCGCCGCCCGCGCCCACCCCCGCTGCCGCCGCCGCCGCCGCCTCCGCCAGCTGCTCCTCCAGCGGGTCCACTGGTGGCGACCTGCAACACACACGCATATTTTATTAGATTAATTAAATTTCTAGAAAATATAATTTCTTACATCAATATATTACTGATCCATAACCTAACATATATAATCAAGAGGGATGATGAGAATGTCTTGATATAAAAACGTATTGTAAGGTGTTTCTTGTTTCACAAGTCTCTTATAATATTATAAAAATAATACACGATATGATTTCTCGTATATAAGAAAACACCCTTTATTAGTATTGTATCAGAGTTTTTCTTCGATGAGCTATATGCCATATTATGTCTTAAGTTTGGTAATATATTGCAATTCATTTATTTCTTCATAACATCATGCTCGTACTTATTCATCATTACCCATTTTCACGGCCAGTTATATTTTCCACATTGGTTACAGAAGAACACAATCAATCTGCTAAGTACTGAATTTATATGTTACTGGTATATTAATTTTCATACTCATAGCTAAAATTGTCAATATAACACATAATTATCATATTACATTACATTATATTTAAATTCCAATATCTAGTTCATATTTACGAAATCTAAATTTCTTGCAACCTATCTTTGACAATGCGTGTAGATACAATAGATTAAAATAAGTTTCTATCACAAAACTGAATAGCTGTGAGCATGAGAATGAATAAATAAATTCAAAAAGATAAAAAGAACTTCTGAAATATACGACTAAATTACCCCCTGCTGGACACACTTTCGACTTCATTACATCCTCATGAGAGCAATGACAGAACCATTAGATGAGATTCGAAACACCTCATTTCGAAATCACAAATGCAGAAATGCAAATCTCCCAAGCATTAGTCATGACGAAAGCTCGTCCACTCCATTAGGTCTGTTTACTCCCAGAGACCACCCGAGCCTTCAAATTTAAAAAAAACGAACAAAAACCGCATTCGCGAGAGCATAAAAAATTCCTTCCATCACTGTTTCCATTTCGAATGGGCGCAAGCAAGAAGATTTCGACTGTCTCTCAGGTCACATCGGCAAGAAAATGCAGGGGCAGCGACTTCGTTCATGCGCAGCATCGCTTTTTGGTCCTACCTCTTGTTTCCACAGCGAGAAACCATCGTTTACACGGAGGTGTTCCAACACACTCCGGCAAACCGCGTTTCTTTCCCATCACAGAGCAGAACACTGAAACGCCGTCGTGCTCTACATAATGCATTAGGACCCACTGCATTCGGCCTTTCCGCACGCGAGGGAATCCATGAATTATGCATCGCCTCGTGGACCTACCTTCGCCAGGCTCTAAGTGTCAATGAGGAAAATTCAACATTCGCGGGGTCTATTCTGCCGGGGCGCGAGTGGGGTGTTTTCCGGAATGAGTTCCTTTGTTAATAAGATTATTGTCGTTTCATGTGCCCTCGCCTTATGAATTTAGAAGTTTTGCTTCTTGCCCCAGATTTTAATGTGTGTACTCAACGGAATTTCTAGGACCCGTACTTGGCCCTTCCATTACTTTAGCAAATAAGGCTGAATGTAATGTATATAAATGTTAGAGCTTCATACATAAAATTATTAATAAACGTTTGCTAAATCTTTATCTTTAACTAAATTCAGTGTAAGATCCTAGTTTAGATTTTATTTTAATAAAAAACCTTTTTTTTATTTTCTGAAATTTCATATCAGAACATCAGACAAATAATAGAAATGACAAATGTATTTATAAACTTGGCAAAGATGCACCTATCCTATTCTACAAAACTTGGCACCAATCCAAACATTACTGAGAAAATGATTAACGGATATGCCACATCAGGCTTGAGACACAATTTTAAGATTATGGTGAATATCAATAGCGAAGCAAATGTGAATATGCTAAGGAAGTGTGAACATTCATGGGACTGTATTGAACACTTTTATGTATATTACAGATTCATGTAAATTAACAACCAAGAATTTTGACTAATTCATTCCAGTGTTTTTCCAAAACTTTATAAATATGCAAACTTGCTACTTATTAGCTATTAATTGCTCAATCACTACGATTTAAGAAAACAATAGCACAAAACAAACAAGCATAAAGTGAATTGGATGTATCTCATTCCACTTTTTGGATTGGACACCGTTCTTCAATCAAGCACTTCACAGCAATGCGAGATCAGCATGGTTTAACTAACACAAAGGAAGATAAAATTTCATTGAAACGATTCGGACGGAGAGAGACAGAAATGCATCCATGCAGTAACCCACAGTGATTGCACTAACCCACTTTGCAAAAGCAATTTCAGTCAAAGCGATAATTCGAGAACCGTTGCGACCCACCTGATAGTTATCACGGCTGGGGTCATAATGTATACGCCAGGGGACGCCAAAATGCGAACGCGCTTCGTTGCTGAATATTAAAAATTTGTTTTTTTTTAAAAAATGCTTAAAGTACTGTCTCCTTTTCCCGTTTTCACACACTGATATCAAATTCATTTCGATTTCGAAATTGAGAGAGAAGAGTTTCAAAATGTCCTAAATTGGATTGTAAATGAATCTCGAGACATTTTCGAGCATTTTTATATGAAAATGTGTGGTTATTGATTATGTGGTGGCAGGAGAGGTGAAAACATTTTGCGCTGCCACTGCAATCTTAATCAAATCAAATCGAGGCAATCAGTTCACATTCCAATAAGTCTCAATTTATCGGGTTTACCGACTGCCACTTTAGTGCGCCAAATTGAAACTCGATAATATAACCTCTTAAAATTCACAATAGTCTACAAATGCAAAATGGGTGGTTATATTTATTGAACCACACTTGAGTACATTTCATTTTAAAATATTAACATAGGTGCTTGTCATTAAATTTAAAGAGTCAACAATTAATAAGAAAGATTGAGAATTATTTTAATGTGTAGATAAAATAGAGCCATTGAACCATTATTTTCTTGCTCATCATTTCATTTATTTTATTTATTGATATAATTTTAGAATACAATGACATAGAACGTTATTGATCAAAACGTTCCCATGAAATGTTTGATATGTTTGATTTAAAAAATGATCATTCACATTGAGTGGAAGTATACTAGTATATACAGTGACAAAATTAATAATGTTATTATTCTCACTTCAGTAATTGAGCAATTTGATAACTTTAGGATGAATGAATGATTTGATGAACGGCAGCACGTGTACACTAGAGCTCATAATAAAAAATGAAATTTTAAAAGTGGTCAGAGATAATATTAAATGAATATCAAATTGTAACAATAAACTACAACTCTTACAGACATTATTTGAAATACGACGCGTTCGGCATCACTAACAATCAATCAATCAATCAATCAATCAATCAGTCCAGCTTCTCTGTGGCTCACCTGACGACCACTGGCTGCTGCTGCTGCTGCTGCGCAGGGGAGCGGCTGGCGTTGGCGCCGGGGGCGGCGGCCGCGGGGGCGGGGCCGGGGGCGGCGGGGCGGCGCGGGGCCCAAGGGCGGTGGGCGCGCGCGCCCAGCCACGCCCCCCGGCTGCGGGCACCAGCGACCGGGATGAGGGGCGTTGCGCGGCCCGGCTTCGGCCAGCAGCTGCGGGCTGGTGGTGACGCGTGGTAGCGGAACGTGCGCGCAACTGGCGGCCGCTGCTCAGCGTCTTCTGAGGGGAAGAAAGGCGGTTGCGGCGGGCGTGGGCGCCGCGGAGGCTGGGGCGGCTGCGGCGGCGGAGGCGGAGGAGGCGGCGGCGGCGCCACCTGCAAGCGACCGGGTGGCGTGAGGAAGCGGGGGCCGGACGTCCACGCGTCCGTGTTCGTGTTCGTCACGCTACTCAGTGTTACTCGCGCGAGTTTTCTTGATACACGAGCTCCCTAGTCCTCACTCAACGCTGAATAGCACGGCCCGTTGAGATACGTAGGTCTGACTCGGCACGGCGCGTACCAATTTACAATGCTGACAACAACCACCTCGTACTTTCAAAACAATCGTCGCATTTCTCGTAGCACTCTGTGGCGAGTTAAGTTCATGCCCACAGTTGGTACAACTTTTTAAGCCGTGACGTAGCTCTCCTCTCCCCGCACCTCCTGTGGAATATCAAGAAAACTTGCGCGTATAACTACGTCTCCACGTTCTCGGACCTACCAAATCCCCCTTAAAGGTTAAACAGCTCCTCTAAAATCGCTCTGTTACATTGAGCGTTAGTGCCTTAACTCATTTCGCTCCGACGTAGATCTACTGATCTAACAAGCCTTCAGGCATCGGGTAGAAAGATCCAAATAACACCCTGTAGAGAGTGTTAAGCGTTTTATTGGATTACAAATATTACGTTTGGTTATAAATAAATCCATTTTCAAGAATCTACAACTAATGTACAAAATTCTGCGTAATATTCATATAAAAATAGTTGTTTTAGCAAATGGATTTATTTGCACATGAGTTGTTGTTTTTGTTTTGCATCTGACTCGATGATATAAATTTGAAGACAAAAATATATTATTTTGAGCCATTATAGTATATTACTATAGTTACAAGTGATATTCTCAGAGGATAAAACTAAATGTCAAACAATTTAAATGTTTGAAATGCTATCTTAGTATTAACGCCATAAAACGTTTGGTATAAGTTGAAAGCCAAAACTCAGTTTCGGTGAATCGTGCTCATTAAACGTCTGTACCGAAGACTTGCTCCCATGACACGATTTTTCCAAGAATATAACGTGAATGTCATACACATTTAAAAAGGCATATTTGACTGACTTTAGAAAATTTTGAAATTAACAGGACCCATTACTACGTTTGCAAAGACAATAAACTTCTTGGGTTCATTGTCACAAAGGGTTTTGAAAAGTTCTGTACAACGCTTTTGAATGGTTCACGGAGTTTCGGTAGGTTTTATAGTTTTCCTCCAGGGCAAGGAATTTCTAACTCTGCGTAATCCGCCTCAATCCTTTTGATGCTGCTGACATTTCAAAGAGCGCCAAGTAGAGATTCGAAATGAAGAGAGGAAATCAAAGGAAGAAGTTAATGAAGGTAAGCATGCTTAAAATATCACAAATATAATAATATTAATAATAATAATAATAATAATAATAATAATAACAATAATAATAATAATAATAATAATAATAATAAAAAATTACTAAAATTAATACTAGTAACATGAAGTATATGTATATTAGTAACATGACATACTAGTAACATGAACTCGTAGAAACTGTATTTTATCTTGAAAGCATTTCTCGTCAAAAATGATGTCAAAACAAACGAGCATAGAATTGATATTTATACGCCCTTTCTTATTTTCGTAGTGCCTCGACAATTTCATGTTGTTATATGCACATACACAGCAATTATTTGAAAACATTACCAATGTTACATTGAACTTCGCAGGTCGCCATTCTTACAGCGCCCTTGCGACTTTCCGTCCTCCCGTTGGAGTTCACACCCTCGCCACCTGCGGGAAGGGTACCGTGGGCACCTGCTGGTGGTGACCCGTGGCCCCTTTCCTAAGGTGCTGCTCCGAGTACACTTGGAAGCGTTTATGCAAATCACGGATATTGCTGCTCAGAGCAGTTAGTCAGCAAGTTCCCTTCTGGCAAGGCGTTATAAACTTAATGTTAAATACATGAAGCTAATTTCCGGGAACATACTGATTGCGTTTCAAACCCGCGATTTTCCAGTCAAGTGCTTTCGACCATAAGGTCTTCGAAAGGAATGGCAAAGGAAACGAAGTAGAATAAAGGGAAGGAGAATGGAAAGTATGCGGCGAGAAGGGAAATAGAAAAGTGTGGAGAAGGAGAGGGAAGAAAAGAGGAAGGAGAAGGAGAAGAATATAAATAGAAAAAAGGAAGAGGAGAGAAAAAGGTGGATGCGTAAGAGAAAAAAGAAGGATAAGTAGAAGACGAAGAAAAAGTGGTAAGACAAAAAGTGGGAGAAGGAGAAGAGAAAGAAGAAGGGGTGTAATAAGAGGAAGGATAACAAAAGGAAAAAGAAGAAAGGGAAAGAGAAAGAGGAAAGAGAAAGAGGAAAGAGAAAGAGGAAAGAGAAAGAGGAAAGAGGAAAGAGAAAGAGGAAAGAGAAAGAGGAAAGAGAAAGAGGAAAGAGAAAGAGGAAAGAGAAAGCGGAAAGAGAAAGCGGAAAGAGAAAGCGGAAAGAGAAAGGGAAATAGGTATATGGAAAAGAAAAAGAGAAAAAGGAAAGGGAAGGAGGAAGGGAGAAGGGACAGAAAAAGGGAGAGGGCAAATTGAAGGGGAAAGGGAGAGGAAAAATGGAAGGGGAAAAGGAGAAGAGAAATATAAATGGAAAGGGAAGGAGAAAGAGAAAGGTAAAGGGAAAAGAGAAAGGGAAAGAAGAAAGGGAAAGAGGAAGGAAAAAGACAAAGGGGAAAAGGGATATGGGAACGGAAACGGAAAAGGGAAAGAGAAAGGGAAAGGCGAAGGGGAAAAGAAAAGGGAAAGGGAAAGGATAAAGGATAAAGTGTAAGGATAAAGGATTAAGTGTAAGGAGAAAGGGAAAGTGTAAGGAGAAAGGGGAAGTGAAAAGGGGGAAGGGGAAGAAGGAGACGATGGCAACGCCTAGGGAGCGGCCTCACCTGCGGGTTGCCGACGCTGCCCGGCGTGCGCGCGCCGGGGCCGGCCTTGTCGCGCGGGCGCTCGCCCGGCAGGGGCCACGTGTTGGCGAGGATCTCGCGGTGCTTGGCGAGCGCGGCGTCGAGCGCCGAGCCCGGGCGGTGGCGCGGCCGGTGGTGGCGGTGGCGCAGCGACGCCAGCGCAGAGAAGTCGGGCCAGCGGTCGGCGTCGGCGGAGGCCGAGGCGGGGGCCGAGGCGGGGGCCGAGGCGGGGGCGGGGGCGTCGGGAGGCGGCGGCAGGCGCGGCCACGCGTCCGCCCGCCCGCCGTGCTTCAGCGCGTCCAAGGAGGTCGCGGACGGCCGCCAGTCGTAGGACGCCGCCGCCAGGGCGTTCTCCACGTCGCGGAAGCTGCCGCCCCCGCCGCCGCTCTTAGGTTCCTTCACAGGAGCAAGAACTACTACGTCATCTCTACACATCTCAATATTTGTACTGCTTTTGTTTAGTTGCTTACATCCTAAGCACTGTCTAAAGCTGAATAAAATACTTGAAATTTGAGGTCACCGAACTTATAAAAACACAGTAACATTTATGGAAACGGTTAAAAATTACTAATAAAATGGGATATTGGTATTGTGAATTTTCGTTGGCATTTACAGTGAAATAATTATATAAACCGTCATTGCGTACAATATTGTTTATTACAATAGCAGCTTTCGATGGCTTCATCAGTTTTCTGCTGTTTAGAGACCACAAAAAAGACTACTCATTTTTATTTGTTATGAATAATCGGTTAAAGTTCGCACGATAATTAATCTTTCCAGGAAGATATCGCTTAATTTCATTTCTCGTCATTTTGAATGCAGAGTTTGTAGCACAAGATCGTTGTCTTTTCACATATCCTGAGAACAATAGGAACACAACGACAAAATGGGATAAAGTTGTTCATTTACACGGGAAAGATAGATGAAAGTGGAGGAATTCATGAATCTGCTGTATTTTTCAAGAAGTTAAATGATTGCAATAGAAAACAACGGCACAACAGATTATCCTCGGATTGTTTTACCACAAATTTTGTTTTGAAGCTGACCTGGATGGCCGAGATGGCTAAGAGCGTGTACCGACTCAGAGACAAATTTTTAGTGTTTTTAAATTTAAGATCGCTTCAACATCAAGGTCATTAGCGGCCACTATTGCATTTATCGGTATAGTAACTGTGAAAATGACATGAAATGGACATAATAGGGATTTAAAGCACGAAAACAAATACAACCATGCTCGAGGCGGATCTTACTGTCTGCGATTCCTATAGTACTTCTGCCTTACCGATCTCGGCTTAATAGCACATGGTTGTTTGTCCCTTGTCTCTCCGGTACGTGTGTTGTCGCGGAGGGTCTCGCATTCCGCTGACCTTAGATCTGAGGAGCCCGCTAGAGTATTGGTGTACGATCAAATATGCGTCTCATCGGCACGTAAAATGTAACTAGCTGTCGGCTGGAAAAACCGTACGGGGGGGGGAAAACAAATATTTTTTGTGTGTCACTGTTTACTCCGTTATCCGTTCAGCCTGTTTGAGAGAGGGGAGTAGTTGACTGGGGTGCGTACCTTGGAGGCCTTGGGCGCGAGGGCGACGGCGGCGGACGGGAAGGAGACGGCGCGCGCGCCGCCCACGCGCTGCCCTCTGTCGGGCGCCGCCAGCAGCCCCAGCCCCGCCCCCTCGCCCTCGGGGCCTCGCACGCGCTGCTTGCCGCGCTCTCGCTCCCGGCTCCCGTTCGCGCGCCCGTCCTTCTCCCGCACCCGCTCCCGCCTCCGCCTTCCCTCTCCCTCTCCCTCTCGCCTCTCTTTTCCCGCCCCTTCTTCCCTCTCCTTCTCCGCCTCCCTCTCCCGCCTCCCGCTCTCTCTTCCAACTCCCTCTCCCCGCTCCCTCTCGCGGTGCCGCTCCCGCGCCTTGGCCCTCGCCTTGGCCCGCGCCCTTTCCTTGCGGCCCGGCGCGCGCGCGGCGGGCGGTCCCCGCGGGCGTGCAGGCGACGCCGGCTGCAGCACTGCTGGCGGCCCGCGCGCCCGTCCCCCTCTTTCTCCCCCGCCCTCGCAGGCGCGGGGCGGGGCGTGGGGGCGGGCGGGCCGCGGCTTCTTGCGCGGGGCGCCCCGGCCTTGCCCCTGGCCTTGCCCTTGCGGCCCTCGCCACGCCGTCCTCGCCCTCGTCCTCGTCGTCGTCCTCGGCCCAGCGGTGGGGCGGGCCAGGCGCGCGCCCGCGCCGCCCGCCGCCTTCTTTCTGCGCTCGGGCACCCACGAGTCGTCGGCGGCCAGCAGCTGCGCCGCCCCCGCCGCCGCCTCCAGCTGCCGCACACGCGCCAGGTCGCGGTCCAGCGTCTCTGCGGACAGCAACAGTATCTTTTAAAGCTTCAGTTCTCTTCACTTCAGTATTTTTTTAAAAATTAATTTAATAGGTAATTATTACATTTGTAGACCTTGTGGCAATAACATGCCACGCCTTATTTCTGATGAAATTGCGATATTAGTGTTTTTCGATGTCCCATAGATATGTCTGGATGTTGGATTTTCATTTTACAGATTTGCTGCAAGATGGAAGTATTATTTATAAATTAATTATCCCTCTGTGTAGAATGCAATTTCTTAACGTTCACTTTGCGTTCTCTCAAAACTTACGTATTCTAGCATAGCATGTTATTGTCACGGTAATTATTACACTTGTAGACCTTGTGGCAATAACATGCCGCGCCTTATTTCTGATGAATTTTCGATATTAGTGTTTTTAGATGCCCCATAGATGTATCTAGATGTTGGGTTTTAATTTTACAGATTTCCTGCAAGATGGCAGTATAATTCATAAATTAATGTTCTTTATCCCAATGTGTAAAATGCAATATCTTAACGTTCACTCTGCGTCTTCTCAAAACGTACGTATTCTAGCATAGCATGTTCTTGTCACGGTAATTATTACACTTGTAGACCTTGTGGCAATAACATGCTACGCCTCATTTCTGATGCATTTTCGATATTAGTGTTTTTCGATGTCCCATAGATATATCTAAATATTGGGTTTTTATTTTACAGATTTGTTGCAAGATGGCAGTATAATTCATAAATTAATGTTCTTTATCCCAATGTGTAGAATGCAATATCTTAACGTTCACTCTGCGTTTTCTCAAAACTCACGTAGTCTATCATGGCATGTTATTTCCCTGAGATCTTCGTACATATAATTGCATTGCTTGTTAACTATGTGCCTAGCCCGAAGGTCTTTAATTCATCACAATACCTACATCCTACCGCGACCTGACCTTTCGAATTCTGATATTGATCCCCCAATTGTCGCTCCTTCGCATCAAAGCCGTGGAAAAGAGACTGTAACTTACGGCTGAGGGAATACATCTGAAGAGAGAGAAACCTGCCGAAAGAAGGCAAGTACATACTAATCTACAAGACTTTTCTAAACTATTTTTTCTTTTAGCTTCAGCATTTACGTCTCGAGCAAAAGTTCTTAATTGCTCATTTAATTATTTGATGGTTTACATATTTGTTTATTGCTTTATTTACTTATCAATTTAATAAATTAATTAACATAATTATTGACTATTTCATAACTTATTTATTTTATCTCCAGTCTAGTCTCCGCTCACACTACTAACTAATGCTATTTCCTCACTCTTTGATTGCAGTTTCCCTGATAGTTCGAACCTTTCCTAGAAATGTTCCTAATTCTTTCATGAGAAATATCATCAATTAATATATTCTGGACGCGCGTTATGTTTCTATCCCCATATTGCTGTAGCACAGCAATTTAAAAGAATGTTAAACCAACACATTGAGAGGTTTGAGTATGTATTGGCCATTGGCCATTAGCCATGGTCCAGTATCTTTCTAGAATCAAAATTCTCTGAAACTCAATTCGTCGCTACTTGAAAAAAATGATGTATCGAAATAATTTAATAAAAATTAGAAAAAATTAAAAGATGGCAATATATAGACAAGGATATTTATAATCAGGTATGATAATCACCCATAAAGTTTCACATCAATTGTAGTAAGTAGCCCAAAACGTTCAAGAATACTACGAAACTGGGGCTACTTAACAAGCAACATTTGTACGATATATACATTTTCCAAAACCCCACCAATTCGAAGGACGCAGTCCGCAGCGTAAAGCAAAGCCATTCACAACCTAACAGTCGTCACCCACACTCTACCCACTGTTGACTCCGCCGTGGCCCTTCAAAGAAGCCAAGGACCGCCAAGATGAGCGGGTTGTAAGGATTTCCGTGTTCGCATTGCACTGCCTTCAATGAGTCACAACGAAGCTTTCATTGGCAGTTTTTTTGGAACTGCTAGATCGCGAAACGCGCCCTTTGTTCAAGGACCCGTCGCCCTATCGATTGACTATTGTGACAGTTCGCAACAGGAGTCGTCTTCCTTAAATTCATAAAAACAACCACAGCACCAATCACATAAATGTACAATGTTTTAAACCTACAAATGACAAGAACGCTGGTCAAGCATTTAAAATAAAAATATTCCCAAAAGTTTTACACAAGATTAATGTGTTTTTACAGTGTACAACACTAACTTCCTGTACCAACTAGATGCGTCTCAAGAGAACTACCGTACACATGAAAAAATGAAATTTATCTATTTATTAACATATAGTCCCCCGACAATGATAACGACACCAATACGGAATGTTTGCCGACAGAAACGGGGATGATATAATTTGCGAGGTGACGTTACTGTAATGTGAAATAGGCCGGCTATTCCTCTCCCATTCCCAGCAATTAGAATATATTATGAAATTAAAACTATTTACCATTATTTTTTAGTATATCGAGTACGTGTTCAGATAAATATGAATATATTTTTTCCTTTGTAATACTTGAAAATAATAAATTATCATATTAACTTTTATAAGTGCTTTCAAGGGCAGAATTTGGCGTAAATGTATACGATTTTAACTTTTCCAGAATGGTTGTAGTACAATACTACCATAAAATTTGTATCTATAAATAATTGCACATCCTCTATTACAGTACCATGAAACGCTGCATGGACGTTGGTTTTTCATCGGACTATTTTTCAATGAAGTTAATTATCGTCAAATTTACATTCTTGTCAAAAAATCCTATTATACCGAGAGCACTGTGAAGTGCACGCGGTTCAGAGCTTTTTAAAGCACCAACTAATTTAGTATCGTGAATGCAGGTTCCATGAATAGGACACGCATTATTTAACACAAGAAAGGTTTCTACCAACAAAACGGCAATTAGTATTTCTGCAATGAAAATTATATGAGAGGTTAACGCATTGTTTTACGATATACTATTATATTATTGCATTTATTAAATGCCGGTATTGCGTCAAAACGCAGAAATGGCATATAATGTTGAAGTTAAACTAAAATTATTATTGGATGCCACATTGTAAAACCCAAATGATATAATATCGTTTCGAAACCGGAATGAGGACTGGAAGTTGGGAGAAATGTCTTTTTAATGGAAACTACATTTAATATGGAAGTAAAAATTAATGGATTCAATCACACCGACATTATATCATGCTTGATAGCTCTCAAGTAGGAAATTGAGCAGTTAACCCTTGCCGGATAAACGATCTTCTAAGAATCCGACGTATGATGACATAAACGTGAACAACGATATTACCAATATTCTCCGTAAACATTTTTCTATTATCGTAAATTTAAAGCCATTTACGCTTAAAACGTGTTTAGGTCGTAACTATTTTTAAACGGATTTCCCTCCTAAATATATTACTATGATAACAAGCATTCCACTGGAGATTAATTGTATTTCATTTTGAGTTCCTGAACTATTAGTTTGACTTGTTTAGCCAAACCAATAATTCACAAGTAATTACTTACTAGATATGAGTATGTCAGTGTATATTTGTATCCAGTGATTCACACAAGATACACTATGGTTGGTTTAAATCTTCAGTTCGTTTTCTAAATTCGTTATTACATAAAATATATGGCGCCGTTTGATTTCAGGTGCTGAGGAGGCCAAGCACTGGAAGGAGACGGCGGGACGCCCGCGCCAGAAAATAAAATAGCTAAAATAAATGTCGGATAGATTAGAATGTACTCGGCTTCTGACGGCAGGTTTTTCCCCCTTCAGGGGTTTTTTCCTGAGCCGTACCTTATGGTCTCTTTTCCGCGGCTTTGATGCGATGAAGAGACCATTGGGGGTGAATACCAGAATTCGAAAGATTAGAACGCGAAAGGATGTAGGTATTGTAATGGCTTAAAGGCCTTCGGCCTAGCCACATAGTATCAAGTAATCTAATTTGTTTGTAATAATTACCTATTAAATAAATAAATAAATATATGATTTGCTGTTTAATAGATGTTTTCTAACTAGATTATATTACTTGTGCATTACCGATATGTCGAAATGCTGTTTTTAATTTGTATTTGCGCTTTTCTTCAAACATCCTTGTTCGCATGATTTAAATGTACCTCCAACGTAATCGTTCTGCAGTAAAGAACTTAAATGTATTAAGGTTCGTATTAAGCAGATATATCATAGAACCACCCGACCCTGGTAGCATTCAGTGATAGGCATCTGGTAACCACCATCACTGGTAGAATAAGTCCATCTTTACACGACTGTTCTAAAGAATTGTATAAGACATAACCCAATTCATGATTATTCTGAATTATTAAGTAGTACTTTGAAAAAAGAACCATTATTGTTTTCAAAAAGAATTCTTTCATTCATTATCATTCCTTTTTAACCTTAAAAAGAGAGATATATTGAACATAATTTGGAAACAACCTTAAATGATATCTAACATCTAATACATACACCTGACAGGAGATTAAAAGAAAATAATTCTATGATACCAGTAACAACTTAGGTCAAAAATCGAATAACGCGAATAGCGGTTCGTGGCTTTTCTGACGCTACACTATAAGAGAAACTAGTAGTGCTAAAACAGCACGTACTTTCTCTTCTTTTCACGCTTAATTACGCGAAAAGAACTCGAATGTTCGAAAAACTGTACATAACCGTACTTAAAAATTTGTTCAAAACATCGTTTGAAACGAAAACGAGACCTACACCATTCTCTTAAACGACTTTCACACTATTTAACCACATAATTTAATGAAAATCGATAGGGATATATTTTGACAATTTTGAATATGTCCCATATAAAGTATTCCGAAAATTAAAATATAGTTTTCATATGGTTTCATCATGGTTTTGGTTCTTAATTAATTGGATAATATCAATTTGGAAATTCTCAGAATAACTTAGCCCCTCGAGCTGTTCAGAGACGGGCAGACGATTTGTCGCTATTCAATTTTTCGGCGTCCACGACTCACAAAACAAATTCTGGG